CACCACAAATTAGACACTGGTGATTCTCTTAACTATTCCATATACCCAGCAAAATAAATAAGAACATGGTAAAAGACTGAGACAATCTCCTCTAAGGTTTTATTATTTCAATCAAATACAAATAGATTGTTTGAAACACAGAAGAAACCTAGAAATGTGAAGAACTTTAACTGCAGACGAAATCTAAGCATAGTCTCTTTAGAAAGACTGAACTGGTGTACAATTAGACCTAACTGAGTTCATACTTTTCTCAAAGTTGTGTCTAAAGCTGGGTGTTTCTTCTTATTATTTTTTTTTAATCATCCTCACCCGAGGACATTTTTCCATTTTCCATTCAGGTAGAGTGGGAGGGAGAAAGAGGTACAGAGAGAGAGAGAGAGAGAGAGAGAAAAACATCGACGTGAAGGGACACATCAAGTGGCTGCCACCCGCACAACCAACCAGGGCTGGGGACAAACTGCAACCGAGGTACATGCCCTTAGCGGGAACTGAACCCGGGTCTCTCCGGACCGCAGGCCGACGCTCTAACCGCTGAGCCAAATCGGCCAGGGCTAAAGCTGGGTGTTTCTATAAAAATCTAAGATATTTTTCAAACTAAAGGCACACAATGATACCCCTTTACAAGGGCAGTGTTGATCTCCTATCTTCAGAGAATCTGCCAAAATGAAGTCTTAAAAATGAAAAATGGTGTATTAGGGTTCCAGAGTCAATAATCCAAAATCCACAACATTAACTACATGGTGGCTTTTATTGGTTAATGAAACCATTACACTGTCAATGTTCAAAATAGCCAGGTTTTTCTACTTTATCTTCTAAATATCTTTGTATTTCTTTTATTTCCGTCAACTTCTATAATGAAGGACTAATTTCATGGTTAGAAAGATACTTAAATACAAGTAGTGATTTCTATAACAGACTTTTACTTACATACACACACACACACACACACACACACACTCTAAAGGTCTGAACTAGAAAACCACACTTTGGAGAACTAGCCCTGCCAGGTGTGAGGCCCTCGTATACTTTGAGAATACCAGCAATTAGTCCAGAACTTTGAAGCCATTCAATTACTGCCCACAAATGCCTCAGAGACCACCACTCCTGGACATCTCCCCCTACATTTAATTAGATAGCCTCCAAGTTTCACCCACAGTGCAAGCCAGATAGATCTAGCCTAACATCTACAAACTACTCTACAGGATGACCGAGCATTTGTTTTTTGTGTATTTGCTCCACTCCAAAGAAGAAATTATGATCTATAATTATGATCTATAACCAGCAGCCTGGTTCCACTGTCAACTTACTGGGAGAAATTAGAGAATCACTCAAAACATTCCATCCCACTTCTAATTACCAAATAAAACACAAGGGGCAAGCTCTAAGTTCCAGATGCACTTGTAGACATGGATAAAGGGCCTCGTAACATCTGATTCTTCCCCGATGACGTTTACCTCTAAATGCTGAGAAGACATGTCCATGAAACCAGTTCTGTACTAAATGAATAAGCACTTATATACAAAAGAGAAAGAAATGACCATTAGTTACGAGTTTCTACTGGCCTTTGGACTGTCTTAAAAAGAGGGCACAACGATGAGATACCACTGCACAACTATTAGAATAGTCAAAATCCACAACACTGACAACATCAAATGCTGGCGAGGATGTGGAGCAACAGGAACTCTCATTGCTGTTGGAAATACAAAATAGTACAGCCACTTTAGAAAGACAGTTTGGCAGTTTCTTAACAAAATTAAAAGTACCCTTACATACAATCCAGTAACTGTGCTCCTGGCTATTTGCCCAAATGAGCTGAAATCTCCTGTCCACACAAAAACCAACACACAGATGTTTATTGAAGCCTTATTCATAACTGCCAAAACTTGAAAGCAGCCAAGTCCTTCAGTAGGTAAACGGGTAAACTGTAGTACATCCAGATAATGGAATATTATTCAGTGCTAAAAAGAAATGAGCTATCAAGCCATAAAAAAGACATGAAGGAAACTTACATGCCTATGACATTCTGGAAAGGGAAAACTAAGGAGACAATAAAAAGATCAGTAGTTGCCAGGGGTTAGGGTAGGATGGAAAGGCAGAGAGAGCACAGAGGATTTTTAGGGCACTGTATCTACTCTGGATACATGTCATTTATACGTCTGTCCAAACACCAAGAGTGAACCCTAATATAAACTATGGACTCTGAGCGATTATGATAAGTCAATGTTGGATCACTGGTTATAACAATGTACCCCTTTGGTTGCAGGATGTTGATAACAGGGGAAGGGAGGAAGGGCAGGGAGTACATGGGGAATCTCTGTATCTTCCAATCAATTTTGCTGGAAACCCCAACTGCTCTAAAAAATAGTCTGTTAAAAAGGGCCGGGGGGGGGGGGGCACTCCTCTCTCTTCTTCAGAGTGTAGCTGATTAGCAATGTACCTTCCTGATCATGTTCAGGGAAAAGAAAAGACATCTATAATCATCTTTTGTGCTCATGAACATGATAATTAATATTATTACTAGAGGAACTAATAAGAACCAGGGAGGCAAGTAATAGGATTATGGTTCCATCTTCACTTCAAATTAACTAAAATAGTGAAAAATCTAGCAAGGTTTTCACTTGATTGATTATCTAGGTCTTGTCACAAACTTCCTAGGCAGCTTACTAGCAAGGGCTGTGTTTAAGTTAGAGTGGTCAGAGGTTGTACAGTTTAACCTTGACAAAACAACAACAGTGTTGTTCAAGGAACTCCTTACAGCTACAAACCCATTTCATGTAGTCACACATTCTGGATCCTAGTTCAGTTAAAAAACCTTTCAAAAGCTTAAAGGAACCTCTTCTCTGCATTTGCCTTAGTAACACCTGCCAAGTACTAGAGAACCAGGTAAACCACAAGCACTTTTATTGTCTCCCTGAATATATTCATCAGAGATTAAGGAGGAATTGAGAAGCTTCTGGTACTTGTAAGCTGTCATCTAAAAACAATTTTTAAAACGTTATTCATAAGGCCACAGAACATTTCACAAAGTACATTTGGTTGGATGTCAGTTTTAGTTGAGGGTAAGTGCTAAGAAATAAAGCCACCACCTCACACACTCTTCAAGCCAAGGGTTCAAAAGGCCTCTGCTCTTATACACCAGGAATGAACATGTTTGTCCTTGCAAAACCAACGTGTTTGTGTACAATTTATAGACCTACTTATAATATGGTCAAGTGTCAAACAGATAACCCTTTCATAGTATCTCCACCCATATTCTCCCTCCCAAACAAACAAAAACAGCCTGAACTGCTCACTGTATGCAAGAGGCTAGAGATTCTGTTTCATGTAAGTTTTACTGCTTTCCGTGGTTCACATTCTCCAAGGGACTAACCCTCTTATTTACTAACTCAAACCTTAAATAAACTGCCTCCACCAACTTCCCTCTCTTCCCAAACCCTCACGCAGCAGAGACATCTCTCTTGGACAAGAAAGCTACAGAGGAGGCTTGGAAGTGGCTGCCTTTGGAAATTTTTCCTCCTTCCTAGCAAAGGGGCACTTCAACAACTTCACAGTTCCAATTCCACACACAAGGACTGGATTTGAGTGTCCTTCTACAATCAATTTCTATTCAGGCTGCCAATCACACTGAAACTGTGGTGGAAACCTTCTTTCTAAGCAAATTCGGAAGGCCATCCAGTTCCCATGTATGAGCTAGCAATTGGGGGAGCACACACACCTACTCACACAGATACATTCGCTCCTCCACTTAGGACTTTCTGGGCACAGGGGCATCCTAACCTAGCCGCACTTCATTTCCAGAGTGTGATCTTTGATCCATCCTCAAATTCATATCTTTCTCCATCTGAAGGTTCACTATGATCCGCTAATGTGCAGCAGCTACGCCAATTTATTCCCTTGATTTGTTATCGTTTCCGTCTCTGCTCCTGGCTGGGAAGCTGTTTTGATCTGAATAGCGTTGTCTGTATGGGGATTCTGTATGTTAATGATGTGGCTAGCTGTCAGGGATGTTAGGTGAGAGGAGTCGGTGTACTTTGTCCAGTTATGTTTCGCCTCATCACAGCTATAGTGGACTTTCTACACGCCTGCTACCTAGGAGAGAGATCTACACACCTAACCTTACCCTCTTCGGGGGGAGCCTCCATGGGCCAGGTGTTAACAGAACAGCCTGTTCTCCCGTCAAGTGTCTGGACTAAAAGGCAAAATACCCCCAGACACTTCACCACCAATGAAACAAACACACGTTTGTACATCTGGCCCAGCAAGGAGTCGCTACATTTCACGCTGGTTTCAGTCTGTCCAGGCTTCATACCCTTCACTCTGCCCGGACCGTGTAAGATGCAGCATTCACCCTGCTGTACACTGCCTCCGCTATCCCCCACCCCCACCTTCTCCACCAAGGAAAGGACTTCCAACGGAGGTAGGAGCATCAGCTCCGGTACCCGCCCTTCTCTCTCGATCCTGGCCAGAAAACTCCACTTCCCGGATTCCCGGCCACTCTCTCCCGCCCCCTCCCCGGGCGATCCAGCTAGCGCCGTCCAGATGCCAGCGAAGTGCCCAGCCCAGCTGCCTCCCCCCCGCACCCCAAGCCAGGCCCCCTAAACAGGCCCCAGCTTCCTCCCTCTCCCCTAGCGTAGGACTCCCCAGATTCTGGACGCACCCCTCAGGCACACTAGGACTGAAAAAGTCCCACCCCGCCCCCCAGCCACGCCGCCAGCCTCCAGCTCTGCCCAGGAGGGGCCTCCTCCCAGAGGTGAAAAGGGAACGTGAGCGGGTTGTCCCAGCAGCCTTCTCCCGCACCGGGGGAGATAGACCCGCGTGGTCCCGAAGGGACACCTCCCTCTCCCCCACCCTCCAGAGGCCGGCAGGTCTCGACAGAATGTGTGTTCGCTGCGGGACCCCGGGAACCTCGGGGAGACCGGGGGCTGCCGGGTCCTGGTACAGCCTCTCCCGGGGCGAGCGGAGGTCGGCGCTGCGGCGCGCCCCCCGGGGAGGGGACTCACGATGGTCACGCTGGCTTTGCGCAGGTCGCGGTTCTCCTCCTGCAGCGCCTTGCACTTGAGTTTGTAGGTTTCCAGCTCGATCTTCAGCACCTTGTTCTCCTGCTGCAGCGAGGCCAGGCGGTTGGTGAGCTCCTCCAGGCGGAACGGCGAGATGACAATGCCCCCCGACTTCCCACCGCCGCCACCTCCCCCGCCGCCTCCGCCGCCGCCGCCCGAGGTCGACGAGCAGGACGACTGCATGGCGGCCAAGCTGCCGCTGTTGCCCCCCGCCCCGTCCGTGTCGCTCTCGCTGGCGCTGTCCGCCATGGCCGCGGCGGGCTGGGGGAAGTAGGAGGAGCAGGGAAGCGGCGGCGGCGGCGAAGGCTGGGCTGCGAGTGAGTGGGCGCGGGGCGAGCACAGGGGAGCGCCGAGCTGGGCGCCTGGCACCAGGGCGCAGACTCGGAGCGGCGGCGAGAGAAAGAGAGGGAGCTTCCCGCTGCCAAGGGACCTCCTCTGCCAGAGAACAGAGACCCCGCCCGGGCTCGGGCAGTATTGCACTGAGGCTCGCTCCGGCCGGCCTGGCGCGCTCGCTAGGCCGCTTCGCACAGCGAGCCGAAAGCTCCGGGGCTAGCCCGCCGCCGTCACGGCCCGGCTCCTGGCGTCCGCCGGGGGCTAGGGACGCGCGGGCGCGGCCACTGCAGGAGAGCGAGGCCAGCCTCCGCACCAGCTGCTCGCCGGCCGCACGTGTTTCGAGGGCGGGCCTCCGAGCCCCGATTTAAGCCCCAGGCAGCCCTGCCTCTTCCGGGCTCGCGTCCGCCCCTGGGAAAGGAAACCCAATGCCCCACTCTCCTTGCAGGTGCTGGGGACACGTGGAGAGGTCAGCCGGGTTCCGGCAGCCGACCCCCGCCGACTGTGTGAGCTCGTGTGTCTCCCTCTGTCTGTTTCAAACATCCACGCAGCCCTTTCAGTTTTATCTTAGTGAGCCGGACTGGAAAGCGTTGAATAGCGCTACGAGAACAGTAAGTTCCCCTACAAGGAGGAGAATGGCGTGAAACACCACCAGCCACAGGTTAACCTCGTTAAGAAAGATTTGCAAAAGAGACACGCCACCTTCTTTACTCCTCCTAATAATCTCATAAACCACACTGTGCTCAATTGTTTAAAGAAGGTGTAACTTTTTTTTTCCTCTTTGCATCTTCCAAACAGTACCAGGACATGTCACGCAATAGAATTAAGACACTAACATCTGATTCAAAAAGAAAAAAAACTATAAACACTTTTTTCTGTGTGTGTGTGTGTGTGGTTTGAAAGTCATCTCTTTAAGTGCCAATTTCCCAAAGTAACTGCAGACATAGCATTATGGTATACAAATAGTGATGATTAAGTAGGAATATAACATAACCATCACCTTTCCTTACTATAGTCCTGCCACTCCTGGAAAACTTTTATAGGTCAAAAATAAAACATTAATTACTCTAATGTGGTCTAATTCAGGGTTCTAGTTTTAAAGCATAAGAAATGTAAAGTCAAAACTTTTATCCCCCTCCACTCCCAAAGAAAGACTGGTAGGAAATTGACCCAGCAGGTGAGGTGATTCTAAACACTTTCCACTGTCAACACAAAACAGCTTTCACTAATGTATAAAAATTGGAAAGTGAAACTGACCAGACTAGTTTTATTATCCAAGTTTAGTCAAGGGAAGAACAAACACATGGAGACAGAAAATAGAAAAAAAAAGTAAAATTTTTTCTAGTCCTTTGAACTTTTGGAAAAGTTTATAATGTGTTAAGTAGGAGGAAGAGGTGGGGAAAGGAATAATTTTTATTCCCACTCCTTCGTTATCTTTAAACCTAAATTTGATCTAATAATTAAGCTGGCTAATGGAAACTGGTACCTCGGAATATCCAAGCGTTTCCAAATGACATCATCTTTTACCAAGATGGCTGTTTCTAGCTGACAGCTCAGAAATGCCAACCATAATTACACCCCCAATTTCTCCTAGCTGTTTTTATTTTAGTGCTGGAGGACTTCTGAACTTAGTCACTGTTGGTGTGGTGTGGGGGAGGGGCGCTGATTTGCTCTTCAGAAATATATTGCCAATGTAAATAATTGTTAGAAGTGATCCAGTTTAATTTTCACTGAAACTTACTTCTCTCCCCAACTTTTCCTTTAGGGGATTTGGTACAGGAGACAAGCAGCTCGTTAAATTGGAAACAGCTTCTGGAAAACTCCTTGCTGGGTGAAATGGAAGAGTAAAGCTAGCAGGGAGTAGCACCACAGGGGAATACAGATTTAACTGCATTCTTTCCACTTTATTCAGCACCATGATAGAATCTTAAGAGCCGGTCTGGCTTCCATACTTCACAAGTTTCTATTGTTCCCTAACCCGTAGTATGTTAAAGCTTTCACGTTTAGAGTTTATTGCAACAGAAATAGTCCTTCCAGGCAGAGCAGGATGAAAGCTGGCTCTACCTTGGCTTTATCACCAACTAAGTGCCTCAGAAAGGCGGACTTAACTGCTTCTGGTCAGCAGAGGGGTGGGGTTTAAAGTGCCTGGTTTTCTTAAAGGGCCCACGTTCTAGTAACCTTAAGAATGTATTGGTCTTGAACAGGATTTGGAGGAAAAGTGCATTTTGACATGGTACTTTTAGACCGAAATCTTGTTTAGGAGACTTTAGAGGGAAAGCCGTCTTCTAAAGCTTCCCTGCTGATACAGATGGGAATAAACTGGAGAATTATTTTCTCACTGTGGTTTTTATTGTTATTGCAAAGCAGAAGCGTGTCTAATTTTCTACTTCTTGCAAAAGTGATTCCCCTTATAAACAGACCATTTATCACAACATTGGTTCAGTAATAGCATTACAATGGAAACACTAGTTACAAAACCAATAATATATTAAAGAACTCCTCAGCTTCCTGGGGGAAATGAATCAGAAGAATAAATGGTAGAGTGTGCTGCCTGGAGGAAGAAGAGACAAATTTAGACAATCACTTCCATTTGAGAAATAATGACATTTACCTTTGCCCTAAATTCAAGCGGTGAAAACACAACAACAAAGGAAAAGAATACCTTAGAGTTTAATGGCAAGACACAACATCAAAATCTTTCTTTGTCTAATGCCATTTGTGCAGCTGATTTCATCTATGGCTTTGGAACTTCCCATAGTAAAATTAAAATAATGGCATAAATCATAGGAAAATTTTGTTGATTAATTTTTAATGGTTATAAATAAATCGCTGTACATATCTTTTTTACATTAATGTCAGATATGAGCAAATTTTATTTCAACTCTGAATGGATTTGGTGGTTGCAGGACCCACCATTACAGTTTTGAAAAGAATTGGAGTGAGCTAAGTATGAGGTGGATATCAGACTGTCAGAATTTGGACACAATCATAGAAAAATGTGTCACTATCATTTCTTGAAAGATAGTTGATAGTGTTTATTTAAATATACTTTTGATTTAGAGGCTATGTCCAGTTCCTAGGTCTAGTATAGAGTTCCCGACCTTGGCATTATTAACACTTGGAACTTGAAAATTCTTTTGGGGGCTGGGTGGGTAGGGAGGGGTCTATTCTGTCCTGCAGTATCCCTAGCCGCCACCCACTAAACGTCAATTGCATGCCAACCAAAAAGGTCTCCAGACTTTACCAATATCCTCTGGGGGACAAAATTGCCCCAAGAGTAATTACTTTTGCAGGGAAAAACAAGGCCACTTTGGAGTGGCTCTTCTGGCAACACAGAGATCAGAGAATACATTCCACTGAACCATCAAGAGAGTCTCCCTCTCATTTCATATTCCCAGTGTCATCTAGCCAGGAGATCCTAAACCCAAACAACCACATCCACACTTCCTACCATTGCTTATCTGCAAGCACCCCATTTCTTTGACATACATTTTCAGTATTTCATTCCTATTTATGTCAAACTAGTCTTGCATCTGCAGCATCCCATCCAGGCCTACAAGATTAATTACATATCTCATCTCTACCTTCAGCTTTGCATTCACTCATCATTAGTTTACCAAATCAAAACCACTTCTACAAATGCAGTCTAAAGAAACAAGTCAAAAGCTAAAGTATATGAGATGAGAATCAAGTAAGAATTTCAATATAAACTGAAACATATGACTTACATGTCTGGAGATTTAGCAGCCTACAAAACCTTGTCTTCACACAAATCATACAGAATTGCTGACCAGGAAATGCTTTTTAAATTCTACTAAATACATAGCAGAACTTGAAAGAAAGTAAAAGAAAATCCCGGGCTCCAAAAGCAAAGAGGAAAACTAGAAACAACCCAAATGCCCACCTACTATATAAATCCTATTATATTCATACCATGGAATAATATACAGCAATGAGAATGAAAAAAACTACAACCACATGGCGCACCATGAGTGAGCTTCATAAACATAATGATAAGCAAAGGAAGCCAGACACAAAAGAGCATATGCTGTACAATTGCATTTATATAAAGTCCAAAAGTAGGCAAAATTAATCTGTAATATTAGAAGTCAGAATAATGATTCTCCTTGAGAGAGGACATTAGGAGATTTCTAGTAATGTTCATTTTCTCTGTATGGGTACTTGTTAGGTAGGTACATTCAGTTCTGAAAAGGTATAGAGCTATATATTTATGTATGTTATATGTTAATAAGATGTATGAATTAAAAAAGAGGATGAGCTGGGCGCTATAATCCAGAGTAATAACAACAACAGCATGGGTCTTATTAACATGCCATTTGAGTTCTGAGCTCATCAGGGATAGGACCTGAGGCCTTGATTTATACAAGGCAGAAAGACATAACTAAGGCACCTACAAAATGCCAGATTGTCAAAGAGCTACACACACATTGAGAGGCTGGACTAAGGGGAAAAGTCTTCCAACCAGCAAACAAGAAAATAACAAGGAAGCTTGTTTGTCTTAAACTGGATTCAGAGTTGTTTGGTTTTCTAAAAAAGTATTTTAGTAAAAGTTATCATTTAGATTCAAGCTTCACAGAGTCAGGAGTTTCACATGTGTAATTGATACTACCTACATGCTCCAGAAATCCCAAGATGACACAATATCTCAAAAGTTGGGCTGATATGAGAATTCTTTGGGTGATGCCGTTGTTCTATATCTTGATTGTGGAGGGGGTTACACAAATATATACATTTGCCAAATCTCATCAAACATACTCAAAAAAGGTATTTGTACTTTATGTAAAACCCAACCAAAAAAAATTAACTGACAAAAAGTAGTTGGTGTTGGGATGGTACTATCCTTAGTGCACTTGGCAGAAGCAAGCAAAAATTCACTCTGGAAGCAGTCTCAGAATGAAAATGGAGTTACAACAGATAATTTAAAACAAAAATTAGCAAAAAATAAAGAACAGGATGGTATCCTTAGAACTGCAGTTAAGACAAATGTTGGCTATAATTAAATTTGATAAGATTAAGTGTGTTTAAAATAACTAGAGCCATTGTCTGGACAATATGGCTCAGTGGTTGAGCATCAACCCACACATCAAGAGGTTGCCAGTTCAATTCCCAGCCAGGACACATGCCCAGGTTG